GAATCGAACCTGGGACCTTTCAGTCCGCAGGCCAACGCTCTATCCAATGAGTCAAACTGGTTTTGGTACTGGGTCTAATTTTCATCAACTTATTTAGTTCATTAGATTCCATATATGAGTCAGATCATGTGGTAATAATCTTTCTCTGACTGATTTATTTCACTCAGCATAATATCCATGTCCATCCATGCTGTTGCAAATGGGGTTTTCTTTTTTATTGCAACATAGTATTCTTTGTGTAGATTTACCATAACTTTTTCATCTACTTGTCTGCTGATGGGCACTTAGGCTGTTTCCAAATCTGTTATTGTAAATTGCGCTGCTATAAACATAGGGGTATATATATTCTTTCTGATGAGTGTATTGAGTTTCTTAGGATATATTCCTAGAAGTGGGATCATTGGTCAAATGGGAATTCCATTTTCAAGTGATGTGGGCTAGTTGCAACCTATGCCTATTTTAACTGTAGACATGAGCCTTTCTAGGAAATAGATGACTATCCAGATTGTACAGAACTATGTCATCTGCATTTTTGCCTAAAATGCTTGTTTTATATACTTCAAGATCTGCTTTCCCTTTTGCTAACCTATTTAAATAAAATTTTTATTTCCCCAAACAATTACTATTTGCTGAAGTTTGTCCTATTATAATAGTTTTGGTCAGAAAGTGAAATTCCCCAAAGCCAACATGAACTTGGTGATTCTGACAAAACAAAAGAACAAAATAAAAATATGGTTCATTATATCCTTTTCTGTGTGTGTGTGTGTGTGTGTGTGGTGGGGCGGGCCTAGCATTAGAGATCCTTAGGTGGTAGCTATACTCTTGGGCATGCTTTGTTTCATTAAGTCAAGTCTCTCATTGTCTCCCCAAAAGATAATTCTATTGAAAATGGGATCTTTGAAAACTTTTTAATCCTTATTTTATTACAATGGCCCTTTCTACTTGGGATATTCAATAACTGTATTTGCTGCTGTGTGTAGAATCATTCATCCCTCCAGAAAGGGAAAATAAATGGGAACACTAGGTGTTACCCGTCTAAAGGCTTCTTGAATAACCCCCACATGTTCACTATGGCCTGCAAGGCCATGCCCCAATACCCCAAAAAGTGTCTAGCTAGGGCCTTCAGAGCATCTAGTTTCCACCATACAGCCCCCTGCAAGTTCACTAATCAGGCTCAAGTTTCCTTTGATTTCTTTTAAACCCATCTAATTTATTTAAATATTTTATTTTATCCAGTATTCTCATAAGAGGGGTCCATTTTCTTAGTCTACCATTTTCTGAAACCACTTTATAAAGGTTCTCTTTTACATGCCACCAATCATGGGGGGAGAGTACTATGGAAACGGAAGGTCCTCTTTACTGAGGGGTGGAGCAAAATTCGAGCCCAGATTTGTCTGACCTAAAGCTCTACTCTTTCCTTCTTATATTGCAAGACTCTCAGAATTGGAATTACTTGGTTAAGTAGTGCTTGCTAAAAAGATTAAAAGACTTTTTTACTGCCATTAGTAATGAATGACTAGGAGTCCCAGATTAATTATACTTTTACCAGTATTTTGATTATTAAAAGTGAAAACATCAAATACATTGTTTTAATTAATTTATATTTTTCATTATCAGCAGGTTAACATTTATCCATTACCATTTCTACCTCTCTTCTTATGCTCCCATGTGGTATGCCACCCAGGGCTGAGCACACAGTGCATCATAAATAAAATACTATCACAAATCAGGGCCTATCTGAAAAATAAATAGCTCCCGATTATTGGAGAACAATAAAGGAAAAAATAAGTTTACTAAAATATTTCTTTATTTGAATAAGGTCAATGTCATTTCTTGAATTCCAGCTAGCATCAATAACAATCAGAAAAACAAAACAAAACACTAGATAAAATGTTATCCAATTAAAATTAACAGTGGGTAGAAAATTCTTTTAAACTTTAAAATATATTAAACAGGCAACATACAGATCTAAAAAGTTGCAAGTGGTGATTTCACATTAGATCATATAAATAAAATAATCCCTAATATAATCACTTGTTCATGATCTCCCTGTGAAAAAGCACTCGGAAGAAAAAGATATTACATCTGAATATTCACAACTGTCACGTTCTTTACAGAGACCGTGTCTCTGCGATGCAGTGGACCTGGCAATCCCTTATTCAAGTAGTTTCTGTTTTCCCTAAATTATCAAAAAGTACAATTGTCTGAGATAAAATGTCACAAAAATCGCAAGCAGGAACACAAAAAGCTTTAGCAGGCAGACATGAAGATGGGAGTTTTCATGGCTTGGCCATGATCTGAAAATGATTTTGTAAGTTTAAAAGCCATCAACTAAAGTATCGATACAAAGAGCTATAGGCAGCAATGTTTGTAGCTGCTACTAAACCAAGAGTTTCAGTAAAAAGAACGTTAAGCAAATTGCAAGTATAAAAGACTCAGTGCACAATGCTAATATAATTGACAACAAAAGTTATATTATGTGCTTAGCTTAGCTTTAAGCCAACAAAACAATGCTCATTTTCCTCCACTCCCCTTCTTAGTGGTTCTCAAACCTTAGTGTGCTCAGAATTACCTGAGGTGCCTGTTGAAAACAGATTCTGAAGCCAACCGCTGAGTTTGGGTTCGGGATGAAGCCCTGGGATCTGCATACTTAACAAGCACTCCAGGACCCAAAGGTCCATGGACCACACTGAGAAACACTGATATCCCTTTAATATGTAACCAAAAAAACGGTTTATTGTTTGTGGTTTCATAGGAAAGTTTCCAGATGCATAAAACATCTAAACAATTAGAACACAAATAGGCACATTAAGTAAGGGTGTCAACCATTGTGTAATTGCATTTTTTTTTTAAAGTGGCATCATAAGCATGACTTACAGTAAAATTTAAAAATCAATTTTGTTTTAATCCAAGGCACCTGTAAAATACTTGCTGGTGTGAGACAAGTTAACAAATTCAATTATACAAAAATAGTACAAAAAAGAAAAAATCCTGGCAGTGACCGATTTTCCCATAGAGCAAATGCATTTTTCTTCAAAAATTAGCTCAAGTCAATTGTTTTGAGGAAAATAAAACAAATTTTAATTAATATGATCAACACCTGTGCAAACTGCTTTGCCAAGTAATTTTTAGCAAATTAAATTATTAAGTAAATCTTTCATAATAGCTGTCTTTGTTTCTATTAGGATGATCAGAATGACTCCTCTGGAATTTCAGGCTGACAATATACATTGCATAGATTGGTATTCCTCACTAAGTCCAGGCACGTGTGACCATGGATTTGTAATACTGAATATTTGGAAGCCTTTTATCTCAAGAGGATTTCCCAGTACATAGTCAGTCTACAAACTTAAACACTTTTCTGAAGGTATTAATTTTTTTAATGAAATAAGAGTAAATTCTGTGATGATGATGATGTCTTTCAAACATGAATTCAAAATGTTAACACTACCAGGAAAAGCAATAGGGAAGCATTTTCTAAGTTGAAGTGACTGAAGTGTCAGTAATTATTAGAATATTCTCGTTCAGTGTTCTAGGAGAAATGCTAATATAAAAAGCAATGTTAGGACTGTTTGGATATGTAGCTCAAGTTAGGTATTAATAGCATGTAGAATTCTTCAGAGTCTTTGTATAGATTTTAAGCAGTCCAATCTGTTAATGACATTTCAGAATAAACTTATGACGGCTTGGAAGAATTAAATAGCACTACTTTACAAAACAATGTTATTTTGGACAAATGAAAGATAAAGACTTTAGCTAAAAGAGATAAAGTATTTTGAAGCCAGCAAAAATAAGTCTACATCAGCTGTGAAAACAAAACGAAGTGCACTTTATTTTGTTTTAGTCTTTTTCTTTTAAAGTGCATTTTAAAACGTCATTGACAGACTGTTTCAATAATACCCAGGATTCTGTACAAAGTCTACACCAACACCTTCCATTCTGACATTTCAAGGTCAAGCTTACCAACAAGTGTTTCACAGCATCCTCGATTCTGGCATTAAACGAAGGGAATCAGAAATATTAACTCTTTCTCAAATTTTGTCTTCAAAAATCTTAACACTGCTCCTGCCCAGCTTCCTTAGATTTACACAAGCATGCAGAGTCGGTAACACCAGGCTGTATGGACTAATGTAAACTAGGATGTCACGTGGGTTTTGTGAACTAAAATATCCTCTGAACGTGCAACCTGAGCTGAATTCACAAGCTGCAATGATGGGGAGAAGTTCCTCAAATCACAAATACAAATGCAAACATTTTCATGGTACTGAACTGACACTGTTAGAATAAAGACATTTAAGCATATGAGTGATCATGAAATGAACACATTATCAGGCAAAATACCCATAAAAACTATTATCAGAGGAAGGCATTCACCTTTTTTTAGGCAAAGAGCAGCTCTTAATTTCCCTCAAAATTTCCTTTAAAGGTTAAATATATAATTGATAATCAGAGGGAAAAATTCTTCAACAAACATCATGGAAATTATTATATAGATCTTAATTCTCTCAGACAACATATTCTTTGATTTCAGAGGGAGTAGTATTAGATACAGGATTGCAGGGACTGGGTCTTAGAGTAGGAAATTCTGACCTTTAAAAAAGACTGTTACAAAATAATCATGATGAGGAGCTCTTATGGGGGAGACGGGCAGGAGAGAAGTGTGTTTATATTAAATAAAGAAACCTCCAACATCCGAGACTTGGGGCTATCTTTCATATCTGAGGGTTGTCCCATTTTCTGTTATTTTTCCTCTTATTTATCAATATTCTGTTCAGTGGTTATATTCTACTGGCCAGAAATTCAGAGAAATTTAAATAGATTTTATGTACTATGCACAAATTTACATGTTGTTGTCTTTGTGGTCCATTCTTACTGCAAATCAGTGTTCAAAGTTATTTTATACAAAATTTAATAATTTAGCCTATGAAGCAATTTAAATACAGTCCCTCAAAAAGACATTTTGTACATACATACATGATGTACACATATGAAAATGGTGGTCAAAAGAATTTTTTGGCAGCTGCTTCTTGCTGAGTCCTAAGGAAAAAGAGAAAGAAAAAAAAAACACACAAAGAATTTATATACACTTTACTTTGGAAAGAAATAGGACTGCTTAAAATAAAAATATATATTATCTTTTGAAGTATAAAACACATAAAGTATACATTCTGCACATGCATTCCCATATGAACTGAAATAGACTAGAAATATTTGCTTTGTATAAACCTAATTTATAGGTATTGAAAGAAAGTTCTATTATGAACATGGAAAACTTCATTTAGTATTTCAAATTAAACACAAAAATGTTGGGTCAAGTTTTAGAGACTTACCTATACATGATATAACCAATGAATAGCACCGTTTGTATCACTACGAATATAACGAAGTGAACCGTAGATAAACATGATGGAAATGGTGGTAGTTCTGGGCATTTTGGTCTTTCATTTGATGGCTATAAGGCAAAGAACTCTCTATTATAATTAGTCAAATTAGCATTTTAGAAAAAGAAATGTGAAATCTTTATAAAACTCATGGTCTATTGTGTAAACTTGAGTATCTTCAATTATTCATCCTATAAATATGCTCTATCCCCTTTACTTTCACCACCACGAACTTTCTGATAAGAGTAGTTGGCACTGGATGGCCTCCACCTTTCATGGTCCAGTCACTAACTCACTGCCACCTGGCTCCCAGCTTCATCATGTGACAGTAATTTTAGAGTCCCTGAAGGTCAGAGACCAGGCACTCCCAGCTGACGCTTGCTGGAATTCTTAATAGCATCACCTTCAGCAGGGTAAACCATGTAACTGTCTGAACTAGAACACTTGCGAGCATTCAGCACCACTCTCAAAAGTGCTCTGGTTCAGACAAGCACATGGCTACACTTCCAATGAATTGCTGACAAATCTAATGGCTTTATTGTAGTTCTCAAGCATTTGACATTATTAGTTAGTATTCTAAAAAATGTTTTTTCCCACCCTGGCCGGTTAGGTCAGATGTTTAGAGCATTGACCCAATATGCCAAGGTTGCAGGATTGATCCCCAGTTAGGGGCATATACTAAAAGCAACCGATGAGTGCATAAGTCAGTGGAACGATAGATCCATGTTTCTCTCCTCTCCTCACGCCTGTAAAATCAATACGATAAAAAAGGAAGAATGTTTCTTTTCTTATTTCCATGAATATTCCTTCTATTATAAGGAGATAATTACATATCAGAGACAAAGATTCCCTCAAGGTATGTAGACAGAATAGCTTTTAAGATTATTTGTTTTCAATATGTTTACATGTATGGGACAAAGTTCTTTAGTACGTATATATAATACCCACAACGTCAACATGGTCCTTCCAACAAAGGCTCAAGTGGGGGGAAAATAATCTCCAATAAAACTGAGGAAGTAGATAATAATGATTAGGATGAGAGGTAGCAATAATGATTAGGATGAGAGGTAGCAATCATCACTGAGCCATATTTGGAAAATGAAGGAGAAGAGGCAAATGCTACCAGCATTTGTGAATTTTATAAGGGCTTTGAGAGCCAATAATTAAGAAAAAAAGTACTAGAGATCTGTCTTCTAATATTGTCTCTTATGCATCTCACATTTAAAAAAAAATATTACTGTAGTTATTTTTAATATTTATTGACAATCTCCAAAAATGTAAGGGGCTTACACTATAAAAAATACCTGATAAACACAAAAAAGTTTTAAAAAATGAAACAAGACAGGAAAAGTAGCTGAAAAAAAAAAAAAGAATCTTGCTTAGAGAAAGCTGCTATCAGCTATAGATCTGTACTTCCTAAACATCCGAAAGAGAAATCCGGGTTACTTGGCACAGTCTAGACAGACTAAGAGATTTCAAAGTTGTTGAGAGAGAGATCATTACTGAAAACAAGAACTATTATTAAAATAAAACTTACGGAAAATAATCTTTAAAAGGTCTGAGATTAAGATAGTTCACTAATTGGAATAGCAATCAATTTTTAAAAATTCTATTCAATACACTATGGAAGCATGATATAAAAGTTGCAGACATATGGAACAATTCTATCTAATATGGGGGGAGTAGGTTAATATCAATAATAATACAAAAAAATGGTAATACAAGAATAAACTATTTCGAGTACTCACAATGGTAAACCTACTTTTGCCCACCTGTATTATAAAAGAATATTAACTAAAAAGTTAAAATAGTTCCAGTAGAACAGAATAGAATGTATGTCCTTCCTTTCCTAAGGAAGGCTGGTCATTAGGAAGCTAGAAAGAAGAGAGCTCACCGCGTTCCGCAGCACTAGGGACTCTATGTCCCGCTTCACTACGTGAAGGTGCTCTTTGATGTCATTGAAGTGCTGGGTGGCCTCATACACGCCTCCTGCAGACCCAGGATGCTGGATGCTGCTGACTAGCTTGACGGTGTCACTCATGGAATTCCTGGAATAGAAAATCCCTTTAGGCAATGGAATCTCTGGAAAGATGACTTTTTTCCATTACAGATTTTCAAATGATTAGAATCACTTCCACGCTCAATTATTTCAGATAATAAAAACACAGATAGAGAATATAAATATTTTAGAAAACAGAATTATCTCCAACATTGGAAAATAATTTATAAAACTGTAACTTAACATTATGCCTTTATCTTTTACAAAAGGTTATCAAATCACATAGAGAATAACACTAAACAAATTGTGTTAAAACCAGTATTATAAATGGATATTATATAATGTAATGAATTCAAATCTTTCTAGATGTTTAATGCTGGGCAGAAAAGAATTAACCCTACATATTCCAAAGGTTTTCAGAACTGGCCCTTGAACAGTCCCTGAGAGGTAATCTCTAAGCCCCTGAAATATTCTGCATGGTAAAAGTGTTTTTGTCTACCTGGGGCCTTAGACCCCACAACATAGTTTATGCTAAGGATATGATTTGCCTGGAGCCTTAGGTGTTATATGTGTTTGACCTCTGGGGGACTGCAGACTGTGTAGTTAAGGTAAATCACATGGGTGCTTCATGACTAGGTGACTGGCATCTAATACAAATTCTGGACCCCAAGGCTAGGGCGAGCTTCCTCACTGAACATGTCACAGGACATTCCTGAGAGGAACAAGCACTGTGCATGGGACTCCACTGGGGGCAAGAACAACGTAGTTTATACCTGGTTTCTCCAACTCTACCCTATTTACCTTTTACCTTTGATTTTATTCTATCCTTTTGTTGTTATAAAACAGAACTGTGAGTATAGCAGCTTTTCCAAGTTCTGTGCACTTTTAGTAAATCATAGAACCTAGGAACCCCTAGGAACCTAGAGCCAGATGTAATTCTATCTATTTCCCTTGCTGGAAGCAGGTATTTGGGATTTATTTATCTTCTATAATTGAAACTTTGTGGCCTTGAATGGAGGCCAGGGCCAGCCAGGGTGGGCAGGAAGCTTGGCTTCCTCCATCGCTGGGGGCAACCCAAGCCTCCTGCTTGTTCGAGCTCCCTGGCCACTGCCATATTTGTTGGGTTGATTTGCATACTCGCTGATTGGCTGGTGGGCATAACAGAGGGACGGTCAATTTGCATGTTTCTCTTTTTAGTGTAGATTGATGGATACAAAAATAGAGAAATGTGTACATGTGTGGATTAGTATATGTTCATCTATTCCCTGAGAGGGCCTAGAATCAATGGTATCCCAGTAGTAATGAGCACACCTAGTGCCAGATCTTGGTTCCTAAAAATACCTTTCTCCAATAAAAGCAATCAGGTCTCAATGGAAAACTGGTTGATTCTAGAGCTGGAGCACAGAAAATACAAGATTTGCCTGAAACAGTGTGGTATCAGAAAGTAAAGAGATGCATAAGAAATGATAGGGGCTTGTTGAAAGAACACAAAAGCCAACATGAGAGACTTCTAATGACCAGAGCTGGACAATTTGAATAATAAAATAAATAATGATAGTATTGGATTACAACCCTTAGAATAAATATTCATGAGTCCATACTGATATAAATAATTGATTAAATAAATATATAGGGGAGGAGGAACAGCTAATCCATACAGAATTCCAATAAATAAATGTAGAAGAAATAAAGGAAATAGAAAAATCTGCATTTGGTAAATACCACATTCTTGTTTCAGGCAAGTCATCAATAATGCTAAAATCGATGAGCAAAAGTTAAAGTGAAACAGGATATTTATAGTCTCAAAGTATCTTTCCTACAATATTTATTAACCACCAAGGGAAAGACAGTAACTTTAATGAAGTGAAACTGTGAAGAAACCATCACTTGTTGGCAAGTGATCACACATTCGGATATCATGAACATGATACACTGTTGTATTCTTGAAAAAAAAAAAAAAAAAAAAAAAAAAAAAAGCAAAACCTCCACCCATTCATGAGCAAATACCAATAAACCCAAATTGAGGAGCAATAAATTAAATAACTGATCAATGCTCTTGGAATTTGTATGGTCATGAAAGACAAAAATGAATTATTCCAGACTGCAGAAGTCTAAATAGAAATAACTTAATGCATTGTGAGAACCTAGAACAGAAAAAAGGCATTAGTGGAAAATTGGTAAAATCTGATTAAGCTCATTAGTTAATAGTACTGTACCAATGTTAGTTTCTTGGTTCTGATAATTATACTGTATTTATGTAAGATGTTAACATTAGGGGAAGATGGGTAGGGGATATATGGAAACTGTACTATTTTTGAAACTTCTGAAGTCTAAAATTAGCTAAAAATATTTAAACAATTTTTACATGATCCAGTCTATTTCTACAAGTATTTAACTATTCATTTAGCATCATATATATTTTAATCATGAATTAACAACTTGAAGATTTTTTAAAATGCTAGACAGTACAATTGAAAGAAATACAAATTTGCTGTTAAAGTTAGGTTACCTTTAATGTCTAGGTATTTGAGTTTCACCTTCTATTCAACCTAATCCTGTTTAATTTTCTAATCCTAAAGAACTCAACTTGACATTCCTGTATGTCAAAGGTTGTACTGATTGGGGTAGTGCTCTAAAGTATTAGCTTATGAAACACTATGACATTTTGGCTGTTTCTTTGCTCCTGGTATTGAAAGCTGTTAATTATTTGTATAAGTGGATCCTCTGTAGAAACTTATCATTCATTGTAATACGGACACAGTATCTCTTCTCTGCTCCAACTCTTTGTCCAGCATCTTACGATACAAGATGGAATGAAAGAGAGATAGTCATAAATTTAGCTTATTTCCTTCAAAATGCTTTCATTCCAGTGTAAGTTCTTGCATCAGGTATGCTTGTACTTCAGTCCTACAATGGTATGCATGCTTACTTGCTAGTAGTTTTCAAAGGGTTGTTATATACTACCCATATTCTTTTTATGTATGACTAGGTCTGCCTTGTGTCAAGTACTTAGGACAAATTTATTTTTTTAAAGATTCTACAGCATTTTTTTCTTATCTAGCTTAGAACAATTAAAAAATTTAGATGTTTGTAGTTTCCAAATGACAAAAGTTCCTGTATTTTACATTAACTTTAGTATTTATAAAATGAATCTTGAATGTGATTCTTACCCTCATGCAGGAACCTTAATATTTAGAGAAGTCACAAATTTAGGATAAAAATAGCACCTAACACTAAGACATTACTATTGTATACTTACTTCATTTCATTTACGTGTCTCAGAACCTCATGCTGAGTGTTCACAATGGTATCCAGTTCTTGCTGAGAGATCTGGAGGAAAAACAAAAATGAGCAGCCAGCTCAATGATGCACATTCTACAGGAACATACAGCATAGTAGCCTTTCTTTTCTGCCTCTTCTCGCATCAGGCCAACTACCTAGGGCACATCTGCATATTTCAAAGCTCACCTGTCCATGATGCCCTGGGATTCCTGCTCCTCTTTTAGAGATCTCTTCTGTCAAGGAAGAGACATATTTTCTCTGTTCATCAAGAATCATATCTAACTGTCGGTTCAGCTGCTTGATTTCAAGATGAATACGATTCTGTCCTTCAAAGACTTGTCTCAGCTCACGATCTCCTACACTCTCAAATATTTCATCTGCTGAAATGGAAATTACAAATTAAAATTATTAGAATCACTTATGCACATGTAGTTTTCAAAATACGGTAAGTGACCAAGGTATCAATATATATTAAAATTAGAACATCACCAACATAGTGGTATAATGGTATAATCCCCCCCATAGTGAATATGCAGATAATTTCAATCATGATTAAATTATTATTTGTTTTTGTCATGTCTGGAGGTTGAACATTTATTGTAAATTCAGTCTGACTTTTTTTTACCTAAAAATAATTTTCTCTTTCAAATGTACTGTGAGATTCTATTGATAATGGGCAGAACTAATTTATGTTAATAAAATCAGAATAGCCGAAACCGGTTTGGCTCAATGGATAGAGCATCGGCTTGGGGACTGAAGGGACCCGGGTTCGATTCCGGTCAAGAGCATGTACCTTGGTTGCAGGCATAGCCCCAGTAGGGGGTATGCAAGAGGCAGCTGATCAATGACTTTCTCTCATGGATGTTTCTAACTCTCTATCTCTCTCCCTTCCTCTCTGTACAAAATCAATAAAATATATTTAAATAAATAAATAAAAAATAAAAAATAAAAAAATAAAATCAGAATAGTGGTTGCTTCTATGGAGGGGGTTTGATTTGAAAGAGATACAAGAGAATTTTCTGTGTACTGATCTGGTGATGGTAAAATGGGTATTCACATCTTGTCAAAATTCATCAAACTATACTCTTAAAATTTGTGTGTAAACAATTAAAAAATGGAGGGAAGAAGACCTGATTTTCCTTTTATACCTTCATCCACCACGTTTCAATATATACCGTGTTTCCCCGAAAATAAGACATCCTCCGAAAATAAGATCTACTTACAGATTTCCTTCTGAGTAAAATATAAGGCATCCCCCCGAAAATAAGGCTCCCCCCAAGGCTAAACATGAGATATTTGGTCCACTGATTCTGAAAGGAATGGAGTCACAAGAAATTCGCCAGGAAATTCAGGAATTGGATTGTTATGATGATGTTCCGGAAGATGATGACATGATTGTCATTGAATAAATGAGTAAATTCTTGATACTGTAGGATAGATTCACAGTTTGTCTGGTTTGTGTTTACAACTATCGAACTACCGTACCATAAACAGGTAATAAATTTCCTTTATTTTCATTTAACAATAAATGTATACCGTATTCTTCTTCATGGAAAAATAAGACATCCCCTGAAAATAAGACCTAGCGCATCTTTGGGAGCAAAAATTAATATAAGATACTGTCTTATTTTCGGGGATACAGGGTAGTTTCATCCACATGTTACAATAAGCTTCAAGATATGCTCACTGAACACATGATACTTAAATTCGAGAAAAGAGTAAATTTATAACTTATTTTTAACTTAAGTGTGAATCATACTGTTGGTCATTTAGGAATCACACACTACAAACAGTTCAATTGTGCTGATGAAGAACAATTCAGACAGCAAAAGTTAGCACATAAAATAAAGTCATTCTATTTGGCCTTGACATGTTTTATTTTTGATATGTAGCGTACTTAGGTTCTTAATTACAGTGGCTTAGACAAGTATTTTAAAATTTTCAACCTTTAAAGTCCAGAATTCGGTTGCATAGTAAGGGGAAGAGAGTTAAGCAATCATTTCACACTACTCTTCCAATAGTTTAGTTTTCAAGTATTATCTCTGAATAAATAAGGTAATTGTGTGCCACTAAGAGACAAGAAATCAACTGTAGCCAATTTCCTTCAACAAAATTTATTGAGTTTTTCAACTACTAGGTTAGCATGGTTGCTTTTTAGGTTTAGGGGACACAGCAGTAAAAATAACGTCCCTGCCCTCATGAGGCTTACACTGTACTGAGCACTGCTTATCTACGACACCGCTGGAGTCCTTACTGCCCACTGCACTATTTCACTGTGACTGCTGAAAACATCAATCTCCAAGACCTTTAACAACTGAAGATTTGCTTAGAGATTATTTCCAGAAATGATTTGGCAGGTGCCAGGTAAGAGAGGATGAGATGAATGAAAGTGTTAGGGCACACACAGGCCACCACCAATGATGCAGTCCCGAGGACAGCTTCACTGCAACTCACCAGGTTGCCCTTGAAGGTCAGGGTGGCCCTTCTGAAATTCCTCTTTTTTTTTATCCAGTTCTTGTTGAAAGTGCTCAAATTCCTCCTGATATTTTTCTTTTTCTTTTTCTGAAATTTCTTTATCTGGTGTAGGCTTTTTTGGAATTTAAGGACAAATCATTAAAAAAAATTAAGAAAACAATAAACCTCAATATATGTCCTTTTCTCATTTTAACTAGTCCAGCACTAGTTGAAAGGTTAACATGAAAATGTTAATATGTTGTTGCTACTAATAATTCCAACAAAAAATAACAACAGCCAATCCCATTCATCGAGAGCTTGCTAGAAGTACACTGCTTTATTTAGTGCTTACAGAGGTCCAAAGATAGCCAATACAAACACCTGTTTACCAGTGAAGAAATGCGAAGTAACTCGCAGAAGGTCAAATGGCAGTAATTGGCAGAAACAAGAGCCAAACCTAAGTCAGTCTCCCCAAGTTTTCAAGTTACAATTTCTCTTTAATCTGACTGCCTATCTAGATCTAACCTGAAAATAAATCTTTGAAAACCTGTTTATACTTACTGGCTCTTTCCCAGGCTCAGTCAATTGGAAAGTCAGAAAAGAAAGGACATCATGGTCATCTATAAATTAAAAAAATTGGGAAAAGTTCCATAACAGGTTATTTTATGATTGTAAATCTGTAGATAGTTATTGCTTTAAAAAATATAATCAGTAAGGGAAATAAAAATTAGCTCTAATTTGGTAAATGCAATGGTGTTCTGTGAGCTTAGACAAAAATTCATCAGAAATATTTACATTAGAAATAAGCAAAATTCACTCTTTTCAATCCTAAAACAGAACTTTTAGCAGTGTTTAAACAAATGAAGGGTCAAATCAAGCCCAAACTCCTAACCCTGGCACCAACATCCTATCATATTTTCCCATAAACCTTCATAGACTATATGTCCCACTCAAGTAAGACAAAATCCTGTCCTACACATATTTCCTGTACCTGTCTGTCTCTACCTACCTAGCACTTACCACTTCGTGCTTTACTTTCTATTTATAACCCTGACACTGGTGTCCTGGTTTACAGGGAGTATCCTGATTTATCCACATTGTCCTGGCATTACTAAGAGCATCTCCTTTTACTCTCAAAGCATCCCAATTAGATAATATGATTCCTCTATACAGTATGCATAATTGTTTCCTGCACACAGCATATATTAACAATTTTATTTTATATAAAAAATAAAATTAATTTCAAGCTGTTTAAGCTGCAAACAGGGACCTAACAGATCAAACCTCCTAAGATTGAACTGAAATGCCAATCCTGGCTTGTCACATCAACAAAGCAAAAGCAATTAATTCCAACTGTGCAGCAATCTTGAAGCTTTCTGTCACTATGATGGAGATCTAGATATGCAGCCAGATTAAAGAGAAAACGGTAGTAGTACAGTGTAGGTACAGTAGTAGAGTGTAGGCGCAGTCATGCAATGAAATAAAGCCCTGGACTCAGAGGAGTCAGAAATACAAACCAAGTCCTGCCTAGTTCTGACCGTTACTGACCATGTGATCTTTAGAAAGTCCTTTAATTCAAGATTTGGCAAACTCACCTAAAGTCAAGTAAAAATCTATCATGTTTCTCTCCCTCCTTGTGTAAGCAACAATTCATATATTTGAAAATAATAAAAATATTGTATAACGTACCATATAAACCAGATGGTATTAATGTCTGTTTATGATCAAACATGGAAAAAAAGGTAAATATATTTACTCCTCAATAACATTTTCTCAGGACACCAAATTCATGTATAATACATGTGTAGTGACACCTCTCAGGATCCTAAAACATTTGGCAACTAACCTTTATAGATTCAACTTTAAATGTCTCCACTATGAAACGGCAGCCGCACCGAGGCTCTAACTTACATCAGTGTATGTAGCCCCAGCCAACTGTATTCCTGCAGATTCTAAGTAGAGAATAAGCAGTCCCAAGAAACCAGAAGTCTGGCCCTGTTGGCTATGGGAAGCTTACTAGTCTTAAAGGTTAAAAGTAAACAAGTCTACACATCTCCAAAATATACTATTACCAACAAAACTCAATTCACAAGTTTTTAATGTTAAAGATGGCAAGATTTACCTGCAAGACCTCCAGTTGCAGCAGATATTCCAAAATGTCCTTGTGAAGGGATAAACATATTTTCCACTTTGGCACAAAATTCATAATCATTTTTATCTGGTGTGAAGCCATTATTGATCATTACCTAGAGAGATGTACAGTAGCTACAGCTTTTACAACAGACATCATAAAATGGATTTCAAGTAGTCAATTTATGTCTAATATTAATTGATCTTTATATTTGGTCTAATAACCAATTGTCAAAAAGCTATCAGCTTCCTCTCACTATTATAAAGGGTAGCTGTCTATTAAAAAAAACCTCACTTATTTTTAGTAATTATTTCACTTAAGAAAATGGCTTTTGCCTTACTATGTGCCAAAGGCTTACAGAGAAAAATGTGATAATTTCCCATGAAAATCTTTCTAAAATAGAATATGGTTCACCTTTTTTTCAAGAATTAGAAGGGAACCATGATTTCTTTGAATGGTTCACACAAAAGAGGGATCAGATTTGTTCTGAAACCCTCCGCGACAGAGCTTAAAAGAATAGGTTGCATTTACAACTTTTATCATAACTAATTGAAAATTAGATAGATTACCTTATTAGCAAATAGTGAGCTCCTCATTAAATTAGGAAGGTAATTGGACTGTCATTTGGTTAGCAGAAAAACAGAAGTGACAGAAGTCATATTGACAGAAACAATGAGAAATGAAAACACTAAAAAAACACTATTTTTGAAGAAATGAATGAGATGTCTTAAAGGATTCCTGGGATTCTAAGCACAGGAATCAACCTGACACATAAGTACTCTTCTCATGACCCAAATCTGATCATTTCATTTTCTTTCTTAAAACTTAAAGCACGTCAATGAGGCATGCTTGCTTTAAACTGTTTCTTATGATATAAACAACACGAGACCTGAAGAACTTGTTTAAGCTACACTCTTGATCCATTAAGGCAGCAGTCACCAACCTTTCGGACCTCACGGACCAACAGTGGTCCACGGACCACCTGTTGGCGACCGCTGCTTTAAGGGGTATCTGTGTTGTAGCAATCACCACACAGCATAGTAATGCACACAAGTATCTCCTGCATTAGATTACAAGCTCTTTGGAGAAAATGATCTTTGCTTTTCTTATATTTGTATCCCGAAGGCTTGGATATGCATATAACGTGTGGCACATAACAGGATGCTTAAAAATTTACTTACTAAATGCAAACCTAGAGGCTGGGTTTTACAACACACTGACCACTTTCATCAAGCTTTGAAACCACTTCTGTTTTCTCATATTAACATTGATGAGTATATGAACAATACCCAAATTTAAATGCATTTAATTTATATCAAAGATTCAAAATTAAAAGTTATATAAGAATACTGTTCATTTGATTATCACTCAACACATGGTACTTACTGTCAATGTTTGCTGGTAATATATAATCTTTGCCCGGACAGGGTAAGGTTTATTACGAAAATCCCTTTGGCAACTTGCTAAAGCTTGATCAGCACCATCACTAAAGTATAAAGGAAAGGAAAACAAAAAGAAACGTAAGCTTTTCAATATTTAAAAACTCATATTTAAAATAATTCATGTCTAGAAAGATTAAAATAATATTAAGTTAAGACAAAGTCTCTGGATAACATGAGGAGCCACTGTTAGCATGTGCTGACAGCAAGGAAAAAATTATAAATAGCTCCACAGGTATCTACCAGAGAAAAAAAATCACTAGGGTAGGTAACAGTAAACTGGAATGTGGACAAAGAATTTTTCTTACAATTTCATTGACTGGCTAGAAGGTAATTCCTCCCACAACAAACATGTAAAATTAAATACATTACAAATACACTAAATACTTAGAAGCTTTGTGCTCCCCCCCCCCCCCCCCACCAAGAATCTTAAAATATAGCAATTCTAAGGTGGAAGAAGGTGGCATAAATTCCTTAGCTGTTAGTTTATTCAAGATTCTAAACCTTATTTTTGAAAGATCAAAGATCCCTTTTAATAAAAACAAACAAACATAAATGGCATCACTGAGAGCCAAGAACATTTCATTAACTTTTTAAAAGTATTATATAGCCCTGGCCAAGTAGCAAGGTGGGGGGACATCCGGCCCACAAAATCATTTGGTCTGGCCCTGCCAAGACATTAGGGGTGAATTAATTGTTTGACCAAATATAGCAGGCTAATTTTTAAGTTGATAATTTTGTATGGCCCTCGAATGATGTTACAAATATCCAAAAGGCCCTTGCCAGCAAAAAGATTTCCTACTACTAGCCTATTGTTCATTTGATCATCCTGATACATTAAGGTTGGGGGTTTGACCCCCAGTTAGAACACATACAGGAATCAACCAATGAATGCATGAATAAGTGGAACAAATCGATGTCTGCTTCTCTCTCTCTCTCTCTCTCTCTCTCTCTCTCTCTCTCTTTCCCCCCCTTCCTCCTTCCCTCCCTCCTCTACTCTCTCTAAAAATGGAAAAAATATCCTAGAGTGAGGATTATTAACAACAACGAAGAACCAAATTAAAATAAGACCTTTCCAACAAGTTATATAATAAATCTCAAGAAAAAGAACAATCTTATTTCATCTGGAAAATGTTCATTTTTGAAATAATATATTTTATAAGGTTTCCAAAAAGAAGTTGAAATCAGGAATAATGTAAAAAACACATACTTACTTTTGATGGTCATAATGGATTTGTCCATTGTTGCCTACAATTACTATAGCGGGATTATTTTTCTAAAAATAAAGAGAATATGTTTGTTTTAAAGCCCTTAGTCAAAGAATTTCAGATAATTTTGGATGTACTATAATGCTTCTTATATCTCTAACATGCTAGAACTGAAATTTTTTTTTTAAAGAAACATCGATGAGAGAGAATCATCAATCAGCTACCTCTTGCACAACCCCTACTGGGGATGTGCCCGCAACAGAGGTACATGCCCTTGACCAGAATCGAACCTGGGACCTTTCAGTACGCAGGCCAACGCTCTATCCACTGAGCTAAATCGGTTTCGGCTAGAAATGAAATTTTTAAATAATAGAAGAGATTTCTACGTAATGTAGAAAAATTTAGTAAACTCTTACAATCATTCAAAAGTGTCACTTAACACCCCAATAAAGACTGATGACATGTTTTCTCTTTGAATAATCAACTCAACATGTATTTGAGGACACACCGTGGGTATGAGACAAGTGTGGGACTTGTGGAAGCTAAAACAAGAGGATGAACATGGCTTCAGCATTCAAGGATTTAATAAAGTTCTCTTTTAAATTATTAATAATGTCTCCAGTAGAGAAACGACCAGCTGAAATGGAGATGATCAATTTTAAGGCTGCTCAAACACAAGTTAATGTTCCCAATTTGTAAGTATATTTTGTTGTTAACTGTTTTAGGAGAGATGAGAGAAATTGGTTGATCAAAAAGAATGATTAATACAGGAAGAGAAAAAAAATATAGGAATAGATGTAAACTTGTGAGCTAGTAGTAGTAATGAACATGGGTATTTTCATAAAAACAAGTTATAGCACAGATAGTGTGGCTCAGTGGTTGAGCACTGACCCATGAACCAGGAGGTCACGATTCAGTTCCCGGTCAGGGTATATGCCTGGGTTTTGGGTTCGATTTCCACTGGGATGTGAAGGAGGCAGCCAATTGATGATTCTCTCTAGTCATTGATATTTCTATCTCTGTCTCCTCTCCTTTTCTCTCTCTGAAATCAATGAAAAGCATTTTCAACAATGTTTAGTTGACTCTAAACACTAATGGTTTCATTGCTTACATCTAAATAACTCACGCTTATCCATCAAAATCACTGTGACATACAGGGTGCTAGGGAGGTGGGCATCGCAAAATTATCAGTTAGGGCTCCGCTATGATCTCAAGTTGAAGCAAGACAAATCAGGAATGCATAGCTTTAAATGTATAAATTCCCAGTTACATAAAGACTAATTATCATACTTTGGGGAGTTCTCTACTATTAAACTACTAAAGTATTAAGTAAATTGTATTTCTCACAGCTTAACTATTAGCAGATATATTAAAGTAGATAACAGTCCTGACAACAAATATACCTTTCCATCATTGTCAAAAGAGTCGAAGAATATTCCAACACCATTCCACATATCAGCTGATCCAAATACAGGACCCTCCAAGCCTTGATTTTCTGTATACCAAATTGCCTGTAAATGTGCAACAGGGAACATTTAGAGGCTGGTGGTATATGCATTTATATACATTTTCTAAGTTAAAGAAATTATCATACCAGGCCATCAGCTCCAATTCGACCTCTTCCAGTCACTCGAAATGTCACCTCAATTTCCCAGTTCTCAAAGGCTGCTTTTGTCTTTGTCCACACTGATCCTCTTTGGCTTTTTAAGGATGGTGCTATTCGAATTTGATCTGAACTTGGAATAGCATCTAGTACAAAAATCAGGGGAAAACTTTAAGTTATAATTAGATAAAACTCAATGAGTCATCACCAAACTGTTACATATACTTATAAAGATCTAATTTTAACTTAGTAAGCTGTATAATAATTTTGTTAGAAAAAAAATTTACGTTGACAGTTTCAACTTTAAAATTTTAGGGCTTTCTAACACAGCTCTTCTTATCTTTTGAGTAATGAACTCTCTCTGGAAAAAAACAATTGAAGCTGTAACCATATACTAAAAATGCAAGGGCAGGAGGGAGAAAATTTTGGCTAAAGTCAAACCAAATATTTGATTCTTATTTTCAAATATTTTTTAAAAAAATATATTTTATTGATTTTGTACAGAGAGGAAGGGAGAGAGATAGAGAGTCAGAAACATCGATGAGAGAGTCATCAATCAGCTGCCTCTTGCACACCCCCCACTGGGGATATGCCCGCAACCAAGGAACATGCCCTTGACCAGAATCGAACCTGGGACCTTTCAGTCCCCAAGCCGATGCTCTATCCATTGAGCCAAACCGGTCCCAGCTATTTTCAAATATTTTTAAAAACTGTGATGTGTTTTATCAGTTTACAAATGTTAGAAAGCTTAAACAGTGTGAAAAGAATTTATCACTAGGAATCAAGAGACTTATTTCTAGTCTCATTTCAGCTGAATGACTTTGAGCAAATAACCCTCTTGGGCTCACCATATGTTCACCTGTAAAATGAAGGGGTTAGGCTCAACCACTTCCACAAAACCCCCGAACGCTATTTGCAAAATTTTGTGTGTGTATATATGTATGTATGTATGTATGTGTGTGTGTGTGTGTGTATGTGTGTGTGTGTGTGTGTGTGTGTGTATATATATATATATATATATATATATATATATATATATTCTCCTAGGGCAGGGGACGGTAAACTCATTAGTCAACAGAGCCAAATATCAAGAGTACAATGATTGAAATTTCTTTTGAGAGCCAATTTTTTAAAATTTAAACTTCTTCTAATGCCACTTCTTCAAAATAGACTCGCTGAGGCTGTGGTATTCTGTGGAAGAGCTACACTCAAGGGGCCAAAGAGCCGCATGTGGCTCTCGAGCCGCAGTTTGCCGACCACAGTCCTAGGGTGAGGGTCAACTGAATTTCAAGCCAGTAAATAGTGCATTAGCATCAGCAATTCTCAGAGAGAAGAGGTCCCCAAAATGGTGGTTCCCATTTCTAAGCTAGTTTCAAGTCCTAGCTCCACCACTTACTAGGTGTTTATCAATAGGCAAGTTTTGCCAACAAACTCAGAGGTATATCTAAATAAATGTAGCTCTTCCTATTACTGGACTAAATAATTATTAAAGCAATGATCAGGCCTACATTTGAACAATTCTAGCACACACTCTAAAATATTAACCAGTTCTGACATCTATGCTGGAAAATAACTGTAGAAAACACTGACAAGTTGAGGTAGTTTAGTAACACCAGCCACTGTTTGTCACCACCACTTTCAAACATTTAAGGGATGGGGCCAGGCAATCCAGAAAGAGTTCTAGTCTGACAACTAGCTATGCAACCTTTTCCAAGACACTTAACCTTTCTGAACATCAGTTTTTGCATCTATAAAAGAGAGAACACCCGCCATGCCTACTCAAGATTAAATCAGAATGAAGGTGAAAGAGCTCTGAGAGCTTTTTATAAGGGGTTAGAAATTATCATTTTTTTGCCCTTATGGAACCACAGATGTGTACTGACAGTACAAAAGGTCATTAGAGTTAAGGCGAGGAAACACCAAAAATTTGTCCTAATTTGGGGATGAGTAAAGGACCATGTTGAAACTAAATTTAAAATGTTTCTTTTTCCCCCAAAATTGTTTTAAATCACAGTGACAATAAAAGCAAAGGATACCTATGGCAGTGATTCCCAGCGTCAATAAATAGAGGTGTCGTGGCTAATACACTAATCCCTTTATTTCAAATTCAGTCTAGTCAAACAACTTTAATTCACCCACATACATTATCTGATATTTCCGCAATAAACTTAGTTGGTTATAGGCTCTGTAGAGAAAGCCAAGACAACTAATGTGGGTAGTTAATTAACACTGCTAATTAGCTGGTTATGTGGCCTAAGCATGAGGGAAGAGCAAGCAGGCAATGGAAGGATGCAGAAGTGAAAAGGGTGAACAAATTCATCACCACTATTTACAAATTCATCATCATTCCATAAAGAAAAACAAAAAACTCCAAAGCTTGTGTCTGGTATATTAGCATCATCTTTGTGTAATTAAGAACGCAACTTTGATAACAAATGCCCAGGAAGTACCCTGAATGAAGGGGCACATAATTATTGTCTTCTGAGTAACAAAATAATTGCTCTCTACTTCAAATACTTAATAACTTGGTCATTATGTTAAATTGAAATCTATACCTTTTAATTATACATTAATTTCAGTGAAACGGGTCTTCTGAGAAGTGTGCTTCCTAGTCAATAATCACTTTCTAGAAATGGAGCATTTCGTTCCAAATATTGGACAGCCTAAAATGATGTATACAAACCTTATATAAATGACTTCTTAACTACATATAAGGACAGAAGTCAAATGGTCAGAGGCAGCCTGTCAAGTGCTGTGACTGATTCCTTAGTCAGCAAGGACACATCAGCACTCACGTAAAGATTCGTTTCTTGCACATATGTAAATGTCTAGCAGGCAAGCTCTTATCTACTAACAGTGCCAAACAGAGAGTGACTAAAACAACACGGAGCGCAGATTACTTTGATTTTCAAAAAAACAAACAAACAAAAAAAAAACCCTTTTTTTAAAGCTGTAAATATAATAATAATAGAATCAAGTTCTGAAACAATATAAAAAAGATACTATCCCTTGGTCTACTAAATAAAGGGACATGTGTGACTATTCAGTTACATAATGGTTTAATACAGAGCATTCAAGGAAAGATCAAAGACCACACCAAGTCACTGAGAGTGGCAACTTTAAGGTATCGTTCCAACAGGGTTGCCAGAATATCCTCACATAAAAACGTAAAAAATGACCATAAAACCCAAAATGTACCATCTCTAGAACTGATATTGGATGTAATACCACTTGTTCAGGAGGCCTGGGGTACAATCTGGAGCAATTAACCTTTGCTAACATCAGGTTTAAAAAAAAGCAGGAGAGGGTCGAGAAGAAGGGGAAGGGAGGTAGAGGGGCAGGTGGTCAGATCTCAGGGTGGCATCGCCGGGGGTGGGATGCCAGACGTTTCCCCGGGGGACGACGTGGCGTCGGGGTGAAACGTGATGCCCAGAAGCGAGTTTAAGTGACTGCTTAGGAGTGCAAGTAACAAAAGACTCTCAGAACAAACGGAAAGAACCGGCGAGATCAAGAACAAGACCGGCGGAAAGAGGAGTGGGGGAGGGAGGCCAGACTGGAGGGAAGCTGGGGGGCAGGTAGAGGGACTCCTAGGGGCCCAGAGCCGACCTGCAGGAGGGTCCTTCCCGCCGCGCACGAGGGGAGCAGCTGAAAGGAGGCGAAGCGAAGGAGGATGGGCCCCGGCCCCCCGCCCTCGGCCCCGGCTTACTCCCCGCGTGGGCCCAGAAAGGCACGGTCCCGTCGCTCTGCACCAGGTGCGGCCCCTTGAAGCTGTATTTGTACTCGAAACGGCGGTGTGGCGGCGGGGCCGGGGTGCCCGCGGCACCAGCGGACCCGGGGTGGCTTCCCACGCCGTCACCCCGGACGAAGTGGCTGAGCGACAGCAGCAGGGCGCAGAAAAGCGGCCGGACTCTGGCCCGAGGACCCCTCTGCCTGGATCCCGCCATCTTGGATTCTGGAAAGCAGAGGCTCGCGGCAGGGGGCGGGGCGCGGGAGCCACAGTCGGCCAACAGGGCGCTTGCTGATTGGCGGAGCCCGAGGTTCCCTGAGGGCAAGGGTGAGCTCCACCCCTGGCCTCCCGCTGTCCGGGCGGCCGCTGGCCCCGGAGCATCTGTGGGCGGGGCCACACCAAAGGGGGCGGGGCCTGGAGGCGGGTCGGTGCCCACGCTCCTCCTCCAATCCTGGGTCAGGAAAGAGTGTCTGCACTCTACCCACGTGACACAGGGAGCCCACTGTTGCAGGAGCCAACACTTAACTCTTAACAAGTTAGAGGTGGAGTTTGGGAGCCCTAACACCTGGGGACAGTCCTCCAAGGCTATAATAAACCTTTGCAGTGTCAGTGTTAGAAGAAAGGCATTCCTTTGGATATAATACCACTTGTTTAGTATCTTGTTTTCTTTCTTTCTTTTTTTCTTTTTTTTTTTTTTTTAAATATATTTTATTGATTTTTTACAGAGAGGAAGAGAGAGGGATAGAGAGAAACATTGATGAGAGAGAATCATTGATCAGCTGCCTCTTGCACACCCCCTACTGGGGATATGCCCGCAACCAAGGTACATGCCCTTGACCTGTATCGAACCTGGGACCTTTCAGTCCGTAGGCTGACACTCTAACCACTGAATAAAACCGGTTTCGGCTCTGGTTTTCATTAGGTGTTCTTTGCAGAAACAGGTCTTTTCAGGAGGCATAATCCCAGCCCATTGAACTCCACCAACCAGTGTTAGGGCATTTCAAACTGGGAACCAGTGATCCACAGGGCTGTGGAGCCCCTAGGACCTTTTTGTTGATGTTGAATCGGGGTTCCTCTGGATATGTCACTCAGTCTTGACCTCTCTCAAAATTTAATTCCAAGAGCCAAGCATGATGGCCCAGGAAGCCAGAGGAGCTCCTATTTTAAGGGTTTTGTTGAGTCCCTCTGGCAGACCAGGTCTACCTATCTCTAGACTTTTATTTTCTAAGATAAGACCCTGGTTCATTTAAATATATTTTTATTGATTTTTCACAGAGAGGAAGAGAGAGGGATAGAGAGTTAGAAACATCGATGCGAGAGAATCATCGATCAGCTGCCTCTTGCACATCCCCTACTGGGGATGTACCCGCAACCAAGGTACATGCCCTTGACCGGAATCGAACCCGGGACCTTTCAGTCCGCAGGCTGACGCTCTATCCACTGAGCTAAACCGGTCCCGGCGCAAGACCCTGGTTCATTTAAGCCAGAATTTGTTACCTTCACTCCTGATATCAGAATTTATATGTATTGAGTGCTACTACTTATCAGGCACTGTTCTGGGTGACAAATATGCATTCAATCATTTAAAAGGAAATTAATCTAAGGTTTTCATTTAATATCAGGCATTGCTGTAGCTGTTTCACTTATTAGAAACAGTCCTTTCCCCCAAAACCTGTCTATCTTCCCTAAAAGTACAAGTTGAACATCTTAAAAAGTTCTTCTTCAAGTTTTCAGCAATTGCAAATCAGTGGTGAAGCACAAAGGCTTTGGATTCAACTGGCTGAATCCTGGTTTTCCCAGTGTGTGATCTTGCATGAGGTGTTTAACCTCTCTAACACTTGGTTTTCATATCTAGACAAGGGAAATTAATAACAGTAACCATACCATTCCATTTTAGAAGGAATTCAGTGCCGGGTACCCAGTACGCTCCCAATAAACAGGAACTATTCTAGTGACATTTATTCATTCTTCCACTGATTGCAAAGACAAGACTGATTCAGCTCCCATTAAGTCAGTCACATTGTGGTTGCATACATTCCAACACATAGTCCATCTCATTTTCTTCTTAAGAAAACACAGCCAGTGCAGTCATATTTAGACAGTGAACACTGAAGTAATATAAAATTTACTTTATATTAACACAAGCTGCCTAACTTCTTTTTGGTAAGTAGCAGATATTTTATAAATAGCCTGAAGGTCATCACACAGATCTGGTCAGATCAGAGCTAATACAAGGAATTTGGTATGTTTTAATTGTATTGTATATATTATGCTAGTGTTAAAAAATTTATTATAATTAAATCTCCAATTTAATTTTTCATGTTAATGAATAAAACATGTAGGTAAGAATTGCTTTGGATGAAATTTAGGTTAGAAAAGAGAAGAGAGAATGATGCTATATTTGCACAGTATGTATTGATATCTGTTGCTTATGTATTAACATGTTATGTGTGGGTTAAGCTATCAAATAGTATTTGTCATACAATCAATGTATGTGAAGATACTCTTCTTGGTCCTGCTAAGTTTACATAGCCTAATTGACCCCATTTTAACCTTTAATAATAATAAGTATATATATATTATTTAGAAAATGTAAAATTAGGGCTCACACTTGAAAGAGGATATGTTGCTTATTATAAATAAAAGCTGTTTAACTTTTCTTTGTATCTGAAAAGGTCAGGAATAATATGCCCCTTTACATTGGTATAAAACATTGTCTTTCATTCATTTGACAAATTTAAGGCACAGTTAAGTGGAAAAGTAGGCAGGAGAATAGAAAGCAAAAGAGGAGAGAAAACAATGTTTGGAGAGGGAAGAAAAATGTTCTTATTTGAACTATGGTATCTGCACCATTTTGACCTCAGAATAAATATTTGTAGATATTGATTTCCCAATGTAGATTGACAATGGATCCATTAGAAGGAAGCTAAGCAAAACATTTAAACCAGGACTCAAAGCTGGATCTAAAAAAAAGAGGGCATGTACAGAGACAGGGAACAATCACACACCTCCACTACATTAATGAAAAATTGAAACAGATATTTCAAGGGGCTTTTCAAAATCCATTCTCTAGAGACAAAGTCTTTTGCATACATTTGGAATATTAGAGCATATTCAAGAAGTTCAAAGAAATTTCAATGACATGTGAGATAATAATAAAAACTTTTTGTCAGCTACTGACTAGCTCCAAAAGTAAAGGATTTTTCTATTTGTTCCACAGTGTTACAAGTTGTGACACCCAGGGCAAGATGACATTGGAAAGAGCATTGTCAGTTGTGAACCTCCAGCAATGCAAATCTCTCACCAGACAAACAAATGCTTCAAATAACTGAGGTCAGAATTAGGGGTTTCTTCCTCTCCCCCCACAAAACAGCAAGCATATGGTAAAGCTGAGCATCATTTAAACTCAGTAACTTGAAACATGGGATATTTCACTCAAATTAGAGTTGGCTGAAATTTGCCATAATTTGAGGTTGCTAAGCAAATTCATAGCAGCACATTAAATCTAATTCAAAAAGCAAACAATTTTAGCTTATTAATTATGCAGGAGAAATAATACATGCCGATAATTACAGATTAGTTAGCTTGCTCATTAAAACAACATTGTAATTCCACTTGTTATCATTGTTACAATATATAACTGAAATAAATAAAACTCCATTAAAATTTCTGACAATGTATAAATTAATATGTCATGAAAATCAATCCTGCTTTAACCTCTCCACTAAATCAGTGTTTTTCATCCTATTTGTTATGCTGAGTGAAGTTTTTTTGTTTTTGTTTTTTAAAAAAAATATATTTTATTCATTTTTTACAGAGAGAAAGACAGAGGGCTAGAGAGTTAGAAATATTGATGAGCTGCCTCTTGAACACCCCCTACTGGGGATGTGCCCGCAAACAAGGTACATGCCCTTGACCAGAATCAAACCTGGGACCTTTCAGTCTGCAGTCCAAAGCTCTATCCACTGAGCCAAACCGGTTTCGGCCTGAGTGAAGTTTTGCTATATGTTTTAAAGCATGAATAAATCATTTATTAAATCATTCCAGAATTCAAGGAAGCTTCAATATTAAGAAATTTACTAATGTAATATACTACATAAAGTGATGATAATATCTCAATACATGCAGAAAAGAATTCCATCAAATAATTCTCATTAATGACAAGAAGTTTTAGTAACTTAGGAAAAAAGATAATTCCTTAACTTGATAAAACTGATTTTTCAAAAACCTATAGCAAATACTATTCTTTTTTTTTTTAATTATAAGTACCAATCTTAATGGTAAGCTTTTAAAAACTATTTTCATGACAGTTACAAATAATGATTTTTATTATTACCTTTATTTTTTAATACTAGAGGCCCAGTGCATGAAATTCATGCATGGGTAAGGTCCCTAGGCCTATTAGGTTCCCTGCCTCCTCACCTCCTCCTTCCCTTGCTCCCTCAGCACTTTGCTGCTACTGCTGTTAGCCTGCCATGTTCCACACCAGCCCCTGGTCATCAGCGTACATCATAGTGTGCGATTGAACTCCTGGTCTCCCAGTCAAACTCCTCAGGGGACACTTTGTGTGTATGTATATACACACACACACACACACACACACACACACACACACACACAGTAGGGGCCCAGTGCACAAAGATTCATGTGCTGGGGGTGGGTTCCTCAGCCCCACCTGTACCCTCTCCAATCTGGGACCCCTCAGGGAGCCCTCTCCAATTTGGGAGTTTCTGTCTGTCTTTACAATCATATGAGTGAATTGTCTGAAACCCCAACCCAGTTTTGTTTGTTGCTCACAGAGGCTTTTTTTTTTTTTTTCTTCCTTGCTTCATTGGTGGAGATTTCTGGGAAGTTTTATATCTTTCCTTTAATTTTTCCTAGACATTCTGATTTTACTTATGCCTCTCACCTTTGTTTTCCCTCCATCTCCCACTGTTACAGTAATTTGCTCCAGGCTCACTTTGCTCTAGTGTCTAGGAGATCTATCTGCCACCAGAACTATGATTTCCAGCATTCCTGGTACTGCCTGCGCTCTGGGCTTCTACTTCCAGTCGTGGGGCTGCCACCAGAACTACTACTACCAGAATACCTGGTGCTCCCTGCACTCTGGGTTTTCCCTTCCTGCTCTGTCTCTGTCCCAAGGCCTGCCTCTCTGCCAAGTCCTCCAGACCTCCATCTCTCCCTCTCTGCTCTCCATCTGGCAGCTTGGGGAGCCAA